TTGAGGCTGCAAGGAGCTGTGATTGTGCCACTGTACTCCAGCCTGGGTGAGAGTGAGACTCTGTCTCTAAAAGGAAAAACAAAAAACAAACCTGTATGCTTGTGGAATGTTATTAACATTTAGAAATATCTGTGTGTGCAAAAAGACATTATCAAAGATGAAACACATAAAATCTCCTTACAGGCGAGGTGTGGTGGCTCACACCTGTAATCCCATCACTTCAGCAGATCAAAGCAGGGGAGGATTACTTGAGCTCAGGAGTTCAAGATCAGCCTGGGTAATATAGTGAGACCTTGTCTGTACTAAAAATAAAAAAAAACTTAGCTGGGCATGGGGTCACGAGCCTCTAGTCCCAGCTACTGCAAAGCCTGAGCTGGGAGGATCACTTGAGCTCAGGAGGTCAAGTCTGCAGTGAGCCCTGCTTGAGCTGCTGCCCTCCAGCCTGGGCAACAAAGTGAGCCCCTGTCTAAAAAAAAAAAAAAAAAAAATAGGCTGGGCGACATGGCTCATGCCTATAATACCAGCACTTTGGGAGGCCTTGAGGCAGGCAGATCACCTGAGGTTGGGAATTCAAGAGCAGCCTGACAAATATGGAGAAAGCCCATCTCAACTAAAAATACAAAATTAGCTGGGTGTGGTGGTGCATTCTGTAATCCCAGCTACTTGGGAAGCTGAGGCAGGAGAATGGGTTGAACCTGGGAAGGTGGAGGTTGTGGTGAGCCAAGATTGTGCTATTGCACTCCAGCCTGGGCAGCAAGAGTGAAACTCCATCTCAAAAAAAAGTTTGCTGACCCTGCCGTAGAGTGTATTTTGTTGTTGGGGAGAGGGGGAGGTTAGTGGCAGCAGGGGGGGTAGAGTCAGCTTGAGGCTAAACACTCTTTTAGAAGCAGTGGGGAAGTAGATGTAAACTGAAATGCTTTCTCCCTATCACCTCTAAATTTACACACTAGTTTTTCTGTCAGTCATTTCTAGTACTTTTCTGTTTATTCAGCGTATTCAAATTCTAACACTCCTTGGAAAAGAGTGAAAATGATAAATCTGATAAATCACTGATAAATCTGTTATTAACTTAAACAACTTGGGACAGGATTTAAACATCTGGAAACAGCTGATAGCAGTTTAGCCCTTGGTTTAACATCTCCTTAAGGGTGATGTAATTTATCTAATTTATCATTAATCCCTTACTCATTACCACTGTTGGTTTAGTGGGGCAAGTGATTGAATTTAGATTTCATGTAGCCTGATGTTTGTTGTTTATAATTTTTTTTTTCTTGAGATGGAGTTTCGCTCTTGTCACCCAGGCTGGAGTGCAGTGACGTGATCTCGGCTCACTGCAAGCTCTGCCTCCTGGGGTCAAGCGATTCTCCTGCCGCAGCCTCCCCAGTAGCTGGGATTACAGGTGCCCACTACCATGCCCAGTGAATTTGTGTATTTTTAGTAGAGACAGAGGTTTTGCCATGTTGGCCAAGCTGGTCTCGAACTCCTGACCTCAGGTGATTGACCCGCCTTGGCCTCCCAAAGTGCTGCGATTACAGGTGTGAACCACCGTACTCAGCCTTAATTTTTTAATTATAATTTTTTTTTTTTTTTTGAGAGAGTCTTGCTCTGTTGCCCAGGCCGGAGTTCAGTGGCTTGAGCACGGCTTACTGCAGCCTCAACCTCCTGGGCCCAGGCCACTGCACTGCAGCCTGGACAACAGAACCAGACTCCATCTCCAAAAAAAAAAAAAAAAAAAAAGTGCTTTATAAAACATTAGTGGGCTGGGTGTGTGCCACTCTGCCCAGCTAATTTATTTTATTTTATTTTTTGAGATGGAGTCTCACTCTGTCGCCCAGGCTAGAGTGCAGTGGCATGATCTCTGCCCACTGCAACCTCTACCGCCCGGGTTCAAGTGATTTTCCTGCCTCAGCCTCCCACATAGCTGGGGTTATAGGCGCCTGCCACTTCGCCTGGGTAAATTTTGTATTTTTAGTAGAGATGGGATTTCACCATGTTGGCCAGTCTGGTCTTGAACTCCTGACCTCAGGTGATCTGCCCACCTCAGCCTCCCAAAGTGCTAGGATTATAGGCATGAGCCACCATGCCTGACTGGAAACAGGTAATTTCTTTAGGATACATATGTCCCATGCAATATTTGGGACTTACTTAGGCTAAAATATTATTCATTGCTAATATGAGATTCCAGTTTAACTGGGTGTTCATCCTTAATCTGCCCATTTTTTTTTTTTTTAAAGGGGGTCTCCGTCTGTCTCCAGGCTTGAATGCAGTGGCGCTATCTTGGCTCACTGCAACCTCCGCCTCCTATGTTGAAGTGACTCTCCTGCCTCAGCCTCCTGAGTAGCTATGATTTCAGGTGTGCGCCACCATGCCCAGCTAATTTTTGTATTTTTAGTAGAGACAGGGTTTCACCATGTTGAATCTGCCCATTCTAACCATGCCTCAACTCTTCTGTGTTTCTGGTCCTGGTCCTGGTCCTGGTCCTTTTTCAGGAAAGTTCCTTCTCTCACATTTTGTTACATCCTGAGGTAGTCTCTTTGAGGGTCCAAAAAAATCAGGAAGCGGATGGTCCTAGCAGTTTGAGGAATGGGTATCCGAGCTCAGTGACAGGCTTGGTATCTGTGTGCAGCAGGAGAGCACAGCTTTCTGTTTAACCAGGCAGTAAAGTAGAAGAAGGACCTTTGCTTTGAATGCCAAAGGGACCAGGAGAGCACATCAGGCTGTAGGGAGACTTCCAGATTTCTGCTTGGTATCTTCAGGATGTACCTGGGGCCCAGAGATGAAATTTGCAATTTGCCTCCTGCACCTCACCTCATCTTCCTCTTCTGTCTTCCAGTTCGCTTCCTACTCCACACACATCCACAAAGGAACTGGGAGATCTTAGAACCAGACACATTCTGTCTCCAAGCTCATACTGTTCTGTGCCTAAAACACTCTGAAATTCTTCATCCACTGGTACCTCTCCCTTCTCCCTTCCTCCTTCCTGCATCCCAACCTGGGTCAAGGATCCTTCTTTTAGAAGGATCTCTCTGCAGGTACCTGAGGAATTCCACATGGAGCAATTCCCACTGTTTGTGCAAGGCCCCTGAGCAAACCTACCTCATAATCCTTTCCACACTCTGTTCCCCTGTTATTTATGTGTCTCTCCCATGAAAACATGAGCTTCCTAAGGACAGGGACCTGCCCCTTCCTCAGGGTCCTCACTGCTTAGCACCGTGCCTGCACCTAGTAGGTTCCCGGTAATGTGAGCTGAATAAACAGCAGGACTCTGAAGGTTTCACTGCTCCTTAACCTCTTTGTGCTCCTTATGGAGCATCCAGCTGCCTGCCCCCAGGCCTCTTGGTGCATACACCTAGACACTTCACGCTTTAAAGCTGGGAGGATTTTTCATTTGTATTAAAACCTGTCTGTGGCTTATGCCTGTAATCCCAGCACTTTGGGAGGCTGAGGCAGGTGGATCACTTGAGGCCAGAAGTTTAAAACCAGCTTGGCCAACATGGCGAAATCCCATGTCTACTAAAAATACAAAAACTAGCTGGGCGTGGTGGTGGGTGCCTGTAATCGCAGCTACTCAGGAAGCCGTGGCAGGAGAATTGCTTGAACCCAGGAGGTGGAGGTTGCAATAAGCAGCGATGTCACCACTGCATGCCAGCCTGGGCAACAGAGGGAGACTGTCTCAAAAAAAAAAAAAAAAAAAAAAAAAAAAAAGGAAAACCTGTCTGAAAGGTCTCCGCCCTGGACCCGCCTGCCCCCACACCTTCATTAGGCCAGACCGGAAAGGCCCTGAGTGTCTTGGCATGAGCCAGAGACGGGGGCTGGACCCTTTGGCCTTTGTTCCATGCCCTTGGATCCAGGCTCTGCTCGGAACCCAGGCAGCCATTTCAGGTCAGGCTGCTGTTCCCTTCACACTTCTTTCCGCATACAATCTCCAAGCCTCTGGCACCATCCTCAGTGGCTCAGATGCCCTATCCCAAGCCATTTGTTGCTTGCATTGTTAGGCTCAAGAGACTAAACAGAACTATACTATCTGCCTGTCCTTCCCAGGGCTTGGGGGTTGGCAGGGGGGGCTAGTCTAGGAGACCACCCCCCACAACCTGGACACATGCAGCGAACAAAAACCCAGATGGACAGTGTGTCCTGTAAGGGGGCGAGTGGGTCTGGGGCCTTCTGCTGGATGGGATGTGGGAGAGGAGATTTGGGAGTGCCTTGGCCATTATACACGCAGGGCAGAGGAGAGACACCAGTGAAGGCTGGGAGGAGGTGGCCAAAAGGAGACAGCTTCATGCCCCAGGACATAAATAGCCCAGCTGCTGCAGGTACTCACGTACAGTGACACTACCGGGGACAAAACAGGCTGGAGCAGCAGGGGTGGGTGGGAGGGTCTCTTCAGAATATCAGTATGAGCTTTTCCCAAAGCACAGATCTAGGTAGTGCTAGGAAATGTCTGGGCAAAGGCAGGCAGAGGACGGTAGTTACTGAGTCAGTAATCCCAAGGGATGCCTTGTGATCTGGGCCTTTAGCTTCAGAGCTGAAAAGCCCAAGTGCTTATCTGCAGATTCTCCCCTCAGCTCCAGCTCATGGTACAGGCGAGACCTGGCAACAACGTGCAGGTGGACCTGAATAGCAGAGGCCTGTAGAGTTTGGGAGAGGCGCCTCATGCTCTTGTCTGCAGCCCTTTGCCTGTGATTAGTGGTTTGGCTTGGGAAACCTTGGCGAGGGCTCAGAGAACCAAGCTGCTGATGAACACCACAGCTGGTCAACACGGCAAGCAGCTGACGGCCAAGGGCCCTGTGGTCTGTGGTTCCTGCCTTTCAGGCTCGTGTGGGATTTGGGTGTGGGTTTGGATCCTAGAGCTGAGGTGCAGCCTTACAGCTCTGGGTCTCTCCTGGTGTCCCAGTGGCACTAGCACCCCAGGGCAGGGCCCTCAGGGGACTTGGCGGCTAACGGAACTGGAGACTTCACTCTCTGCTCCTGGCCTGCCCCACACGGGGCTCTCTCTGCAGGTACCTGAAGGAATTCCGCACGGAGCAGTGCCCACTCTTTGTGCAACACAAATGCACGCAGCATCGGCCCTACACCTGCTTCCACTGGCACTTCGTGAACCAGCGGCGCCGCCGGTCCATCCGCCGTCGGGACGGCACCTTCAATTACAGCCCTGACGTCTACTGCACCAAGTACGACGAGGCTACAGGCCTCTGCCCGGAGGGCGACGAGTGAGTGACCCAGCCTGTCCTCAGAGGAGCCCCATGTCTCCTTCTGGGTCAGATGCCCTCAGGGTAGGCTGGGCAGATTCGGGGAAGCCAGCCAGAGGTTGCTTTTAGAGGACTTGTTGCAGCCCAGCCCATGGCCTGAACCTGGGCTCAGACCCTACCATTCCTGGGGCGGGGGATGTCATTTCCCTTTCCCACTTTAAGAAACCTAAAACAGGCCTTTCTTTCGCTAAGCCTAAGGACCCACATCTGAACCCAGCAGGCTCCTTGGCCCTTTTTCATCCTCCCCGGAGGATCACAGGACCCTTCCCTATCTGGGGGGTACACTTGCCCCACATCCCATGCGGTTCCTACCAAAGCTGGCTGTTTAGAGAGAGAGTGCCTCACCGGTGCCCAGGTCTGTTGACCCTAAATATCTTACTGCAAATCTCTGTAGAGAAATAATGACAAACATAAGGTGGTGACAAACCTGGGAGTATCACTGAGAGAGAATATTCATTGACCCTACTTGTCTCATAGAACCTTCTCTACATCAGCTCTCTTTCTTTTCTTAATTTTTATAATTTTTATTTATTTAGGCAGGGTATCCCTCTTTCCCCAGGCTAGAATGCAGTGGCACCATCATAGCTCACCGCACCGTCAAACTCCACTGTGTTGCCCAGGTTGGAGTGCAATGGTGCGATCTTGGCTCGCTGCAACTTCTACCTGCCTGGTTCAAGCAATTCTACCTCTGCGTCCCCAACAGCCGGGATTACAGGTGGATGCCACTACGCCCAGCTAATTTTTTGTATTTTTGGTAGAGATGGGGTTTCACCATATTCGCTTGGCTGGTCTCAAACTCCTGTCCTCAGGTGATCCGCCAGCCTCAGCTTTCTGAAGTGCTGGGATTTACAGGTGTGACCTACCATGCCCAGCCATGAATTTTAAACATTTTAATTTGTAGAGATTGGTAGGGGGATGTCTTCACTTTGTGGCCCAGGCTGGCCTCAAATTCCTGACCTCAAATAACCCTCTTGCCTTTCCTCCCAAAGTGCTGGGATTGCAGGTGTGAGCTACTGGTCCGGCCCAGCACCTCTTTCTCACAGAGTTCCATGATAGAAAAGATCCCTACCCCTAGCTTAATGAAGCACTCAAAGGATGAGGGGTGTGCCTAAGTTTTGAGTGGATCATTTGGTTCTCTGATGGTCCTCAAGCCTGGGCACCATTTGTTCTCCCAGGTGTCTGTCCTGCCCAGGAATACGAGGCCCTGTTGGGCCCAGTTTAGGCTGTGAACAGCAGCAGGGAGGCTCTCTTACCTGGAAGGAGGGCATGTCATTCCCTTCTTCCTAGTGCACCTTCCAGGCCATAATGAAAGCCTTTCAACAGTTGGGGAAAGGGCACGGGGTAGGCAGGGAAGCCTAGGCTACAGGCAGCAAAGTTGAGTAACCCCTACTACCGTGTTCCAGGTGCCCATTCCTGCACAGAACCACAGGGGACACTGAGCGCAGATACCACCTTCGTTACTACAAAACTGGAATCTGCATCCACGAGACAGACTCGAAAGGCAACTGCACCAAAAACGGCCTGCACTGCGCTTTCGCCCATGGGCCCCATGACCTCCGCTCCCCTGTCTACGACATCAGGTGGGCTGGGTGCTGGGCTGGGCTGATGGCAGTAGGCTGGGGTCCAGGGCAGGGGCCTGGCGGCTGATGACGGTGAGTATCACAGACTGCAGTGGAGGGCTGGCACTCTGGTTCTTGCCGCCTCATGCCCCCTCTCCACCCTCTGTTCTTTGCTCTCCTCTCAGGGAGCTTCAGGCCATGGAGGCCTTGCAGAACGGTCAGACCACGGTAGAGGGGAGCATAGAGGGCCAGTCGGCCGGGGCAGCGAGCCACGCCATGATAGAAAAGATCCTCAGCGAGGAGCCTCGGTGGCAAGGTACAGGCACCCATGCCCTGGCTGTTCCATCCCTGTCCAGTTCAGAGCAGCCCGGGGGATTTGGCTCATCGCCACCTACTGCCTGTTTTCAACCGAAGCCCCGACCTGGCCCGCATCCCACCCCACACCCGCCGTTCAAAAGGCGCCTCTAAAGGTGTTTTCCCTGACACATCATGTTCCCAAGATCCCCCTAGGCTTTCACACGTGCACAGGCACGTATCTAAGTGCACATGCAAATGTTTCCAGCCCTTTCACCCTGTGAGCTGTGGGTGTCTCTCTGAGGGACAGCATCTTTCGGCCTTACCGTACCCATGGCTGAGCCATGGCCTGGGAGGAGGGGCCCTACTCTCATCTCTCAGGGGCCTCCAGTCTTAGACTCCTTCCCAGTGGCTTCTCCTTCCCTCCACTTCAGTCCTGCTAGTCTTGGGGTGCTCCAGCTCCCATCACCTGACCCCTGCCCTCTGGCCCCCTGTGCAGAGACTGCTTATGTGCTGGGGAACTATAAGACGGAGCCTTGCAAGAAGCCCCCGCGGCTGTGCCGCCAAGGCTATGCCTGTCCCTACCACCACAACAGCAAGGACCGGCGGCGGAGCCCCCGGAAGCACAAATACAGGTCCTTTGGCCCCAGGAGGCCAGCCACGGGAGGGAGGAGTGGCAGGGAAGGGGTCAGGCAGGTGCTATTCCCAGTGTGGCTCTCCGGGAGGCGGGGAGGCTGGCCCTGGGGATGAAAGGATCGCAGACCCAGGGCCCGGGGTGGGGCATAGTGAGGATGGCTGGACAGTAGGAGCCCAGCTTCACCTCCTGCATGAATGAGGACCCTGGTCAGATCGTCTCTGTGGCCCCCCCGCTTCTGATCCTGAGGGGAATGTGCTGGACGAGGGCCAGGCCACAGTGTGGACATTGCGGTTATGGCTCCAGCCTGACCCTGCTTGGGCTGGTGGGAGGGCCTGGCTGAGGGGAATCAAACAATATCCTTAATGGTGATGCGGCCAGGCTGAGCCAGAGAAAGCTTGGCTTGTGGCACCCGCAAGGCCCTGACTCTGCAGCTGGTCTTTTCCATTTCTGTGCCCACGCCTATGAGGCGGGGTCCAGGTGGCACCCGCTAGGCTCCAATCTCACCCTCTCTTACCTCCGTCTGACCCCACCCTCTTGTTGGCCAGGTCGTCTCCATGTCCAAACGTCAAGCACGGGGATGAGTGGGGAGACCCCGGCAAATGTGAGAATGGAGATGCCTGCCAGTACTGCCACACCCGCACCGAGCAACAGTTCCACCCCGAGGTGGGCCCCACAGCAGGGCGAGGCGAGGGGCCTTTGGGAAGTAAAGAGAGAGGCAAGCAGGGTCAGGGCAGGTGTTGGCAGCCTGGGTGAAGAGCGAGACTCCATCTCAAAAAAAAAAAAAAAAAGGATTGGCCAGGCACAGTGGCTCATGCCTGCAGTCCCAGCCACCGGCCCTCCCCAGGCAGTGCCTAGAGAAGTCCTGTCTGCTGAGTTTGGCAGCTTCTTCTGTTTTGAGCCCATGCTCACCAAGCAGCCCTCTGCTTCCAGTTCTGTGTCCCCCAGGCCTCCTGACAGGGCAGGCGTAGATGGAGTATGACGACCTGCCCACCCTGGGCTTTATGCCACTTATGGTGCTTGTAATCCAGTGACATTAGGATTGAAAAAATAGGGCTGGGCACAGTGGCTCACGCCTGTAATCCCAGCACTCTGGGAGGCCGAGGTGGGTGGATCACTTGAGGTCAGGAGTTTGAGACCAGCCTGGCCAACATGGTGAAATCCCATCTCTACTAAAAAGACAAAAATTAGCTGGATGTGGTGGCGTGTGCCTGTAATCCCAGCTACTCAGGCGGTCGAGGTGGGAGGATCCCTTGAACCCAGGAGGCAGAAGTTGCAGTAAGCTGAGATCGAGCCACTGCATTCCAACCTGGGTGACAGAGCAAGACTCCGTCACAAAAAAAAAAAAAAAAAAAAAAAGGATTGGCCAGGCGAGGTGGCTCACGCCTGTAATCCCAGCACTTTGGGAGGCCAAGGTGGGCGGATCACCTGAGGTCGGGAGTTTGAGACCAGCCTGACCAACATGGAGAAACCCTGTCTCTACTAAAAATACAAAATTAGCCAAATATGGTGGCGCATGCCTGTAATCCCAGCTACTCAGTAGGCTGAGGCATGAGAATTGCTTAAACCCCGGAAGTGGAGGTTGCAGTGAGCCGAGATCACACCATTGCACTCCAGCCTGGGCAACAAGAGCGAAACTCCATCTCAAAAAAAAATAAGGGATTGAAAAAATAAACGAGCTCCTTCCCATCCTTCCCGTTGTCCTGTCTCATATCAGAGCCTAGATTATAAGCAACCTCCCTGACACGGTTCCCCTGCCCTCTGGCTCCATGAGGTAGCCTGAATCATAACAGTGTGCCTAGGTCTTGTCTGGGGTTCAGAGAGACACCTGCAGTCCCTGCCCCTGGTATTCCATGGAAGCAGGACACCCTGAGGTAGACATGCGGACAGAAACTACCTCATGTACCTGCAGACAGCAGAGTGGAAAGTTACTTAGTATAGGTCACAAACCAGGGGGCAGGTTGACAAGGGTGGCTGCCTGAGATAATGGCTCCCTTAATGCCCAGGGTGCATGCTTGGAGGCACAGCCCTGGCCATGCCCGTGAGTGGAGAGTCCCTGGGGGATCCCTTTGGGAGGGCTGGTGGGCCCTGTGACCCCAGAAGGGAGGGTGTCAGTGACAGTGGGGAGTGGTGGTGGGCTGCCTCAGGCGTTTGAATAAGAAGTTGGTAGGGAGAGACATAGTGGAGGGGAGGGGAGGGCCAGGGGCACAGGGCAAGAGATGACTAAGTCAGCCCACCCATGCTGGAGGAAGGGGAGCCTGCTCGGCCTTCCCTCAGGGCCTGAGCCTGACCCACCTCTGCTCTGCCCTCCAGATCTACAAGTCCACCAAGTGCAACGACATGCAGCAGTCGGGCAGCTGTCCCCGAGGACCCTTCTGCGCCTTTGCCCACGTAGAACGTATGCTGTTCCCATTGCCCCAGAGCAGTGCCCTCTCCACCCCTCTCTCCCCTGGCCTGCTCATGCTCAGGCAGGGGATGGCCCCTGGCAGTACGCCCTGCACAGGAGTCCCGGCCTGCCAGCAGCAGGCCTTGTCCGCTCCATTACCCCACCTTCCTGGAAGTGGCCTTGAAAGCCTGGAGCTTCCAAGGTAGTAAGACAGAGACAGCAGGGACCATCCCCCTGGTTGGGCACTCATGGTCCCTGGGAGGGTTGAGGCGCTGTGCCTCTCACAGCTGATTTGGCAAATCCCAGAAGCTACCACATGGTATATCTATGACAGACATCACTAATGGAACATGGAGGTCTTCTCTGCTGAGTCCTGCTCAGACCTCTTGAGCAGAGCTAGCCAGTCAGAATATAATGCAACCCCCATATATCATTTTAAAATTAAAATCTTTAAGCATGTTAACAAATACAGCAAAATATGAAAATTAGCTGAGCATGGTAGCACACGCCTATAATTCCAGCTACTCGTGAGGCTGAGTCATGAGAATCACTTGAACCGAGGAGGTAGAGGTTGCAGTGAGTTGAGATTGTGCCGCTGCAATCCAGCCTGGGCAACAGAGCAAGACTCTTGTCCCAAAAAATGAAAAAAAAAAAAAAAAAGCCGGGTGCGGTTGCTCACACCTGTAATCCCAGCACGCTGGGAGGCCAAGGCAGGTGAATCACAAGGTCAGGAGTTTGAGGCCAGCCTGACCAACATGGTGACACCCTATCTCTACTAAAAATACAAAAATTAGTGGGGCATAGTGGCACACACCTGTAATCCCAGCTACTCAGGGGGCTGAAGCAGGAGAATCGCTTGAACCTGGGAGGCGGAGGTTGCAGTGAGCCAAGATCGTGCCATTGTACTCCAGCCCGGGTGACAGAGCAAGACTCCATCTCAAAAAAAGAAAAGCCCAATATAAAAGGTTATCATTTCAGTGATCAATATAAAAAATTATCAAAACAGCCAGGCACAGTGGCTCACGCCTATAATTCCAACACTTTGGGAGGCCGAGGTGGGTGGATTACCTGAGGTCGGGAGTTTGAGACCAGCCTGACCAACATGGAGAAACCCCGTCTTTACTAAAAATACAAAAATTAGCCAGGCATGGTGGTGCATTCCTGTAATCCCAGCTACTCGGGAGGCTGAGGCAGGAGAGTGCCTTGAACCCAGGAAGTGGAGGTTGCAGTGAGCCAAGATCAGGCCATTGTACTCCAGCCTGGGCCACAACAGCAAAACTCAGTCTCAAAAAATATATATCATCAAAACATTTTACCTTTTTTTGTACTAAGTCTGGGAGATCTGATACAGATTTTAGTGCTATGGCATATTTCCATTCAGACTAGCCTGTTTCAGGTGCTCAGTAGCCACATCAGGCCTTCGGTTGCCTCATGGGACAGTGTAGATCTGGACCCTTAGCATGATACTGTGGCCGCCACCAATCTTGGAGACAGAGCTCCAGCTTGCACACCTGTTAACGCCTTTTTCCACCCCAGGATACTGCCCTGGGTCTCCTTAACCTCTTTCCATGCTCAGGCCCTATCTCTGAGATTAGAATGGAAAATAAATGGAGGGCCCTGGGAGGGAGAAGCATATTCTTGATGCCCAGCGCTGGGCATTGGGACCACCTGGTTCAGACAGCGTAAGGAAGTGATTCAGGCTTTGGAGTTGGTAGATCAGCGTTCAAGTCCTAGCTCTTCTGTTTTTTTTAGCTCTGTCACCTTGGTGGTTTTACTCTGCTTCTCAGTTTTCTTATTTATAATATGGAGACCATATTACTGATATTTTCTGGTCACCATGAAGATTCACAATTACTGCAAAGTGCTGGCACAGTGCCCGGCACACAGTAAGCACACAGACACAGAGTTACTAGAGATGATGTAGGAACCCTTCCTTTATGTGCAGGGGGGTTCGTGGTCTCCTTTGGAAGGGACCCAGGAGCATTTTTGGAGGGACAGAGCTGGCTTGGGCCTGCTGACCCCTGCCCCTGACTCTTGCAGAGCCACCCCTAAGTGACGACCTGCAGCCTTCCTCAGCTGTGTCCAGCCCCACCCAGCCGGGTCCTGTCCTGTACATGCCGTCTGCCGCTGGAGACTCGGTGCCTGTGAGCCCCTCCAGCCCGCATGCCCCTGACCTCAGTGCCGTACGTGCCCATCCTGGGGAGTGGGTGGGCACCATGCCTCATAGAGCCAACGCTTGCCTCCTAGGCCCTTTCAGCCTGGGCCTGGGGAGATCACCCTGGTATTTGACCTTGGGCCAGGGGATTCTGTCTTTTCCATCCCGGCATTCTTCATCAAAAGCCCCAGCTGGGGGGTGAGGGAGGGTGGTCTCCAGAGTCTGTGTTGATCAGCCTGTAGGTCTGGTGGAAGGGACAAAGCCTGATGTCACCCCACTTTCCCTTGTGAGGTTCGGAGTCCCCAAGTGGTCATTGCTGCTCATTGGCAGATGAAAGTGCCCCTTACTGAAGACTCGCCTCTGTGGAGGGTGGAGGATGGGTCACACAGCAGCCTGTGCTGTGCCTACTGGCCCATTCCTTCCCCTCCTTCTCCACAGCTCCTCTGTAGAAACAGCAGCCTAGGCAGCCCATCTAACCTCTGCGGCTCCCCGCCTAGCTCCATCAGGAAGCCCCCAAACCTGGAGGGCATTGTCTTCCCTGGGGAGTCTGGCCTGGCCCCTGGCAGCTATAAGAAAGCTCCTGGCTTCGAGAGGGAAGACCAGGTGGGAGCCGAGTACCTGAAAAATTTCAAATGCCAGGTAAGGGATAAGGGGGGCAGCAGTGAGGTTAGCCTTCTCCTGCGTGGGGCAAGAGAAGCTTGGAAGAGTGTCCTGGTCCACCTGTGGGGAGGATGACTGGGAGCTAGGACTCTTCTGTCCTCAGCCTCTCCAGGACTGAGCAGAGGAAGCAGTGTCAGCCTGTTTATAGCTGAATCCAGGAAGGCTGGGGAAGCTGCACAGCCTCCCTAGGGCTGCAGCGCTGGTTAGGAGAGGAGCTGGTCCTGCCTGGGAGCAGTCCTTCCCCTGCCCCATGCTGCCTTCATGGAAAGCCAGGGCCTGGGGAAGCAGGACACAGGGGTCCCTAACTGGGCCTGGAGAGAAACCTTCTGGGCTTACATAAGGTGTAGAGTCATCTGGAGGAGAAGGGCAGCTCCCTGCTTAGGGTAGGGGAAGGGAGTAGGGGGTGGGAGGAAGAAGGAGGGGTGTGCCCACATGTGAAGAGGCACTGCATGTCTGCCACCACCTGCCCCTGGAACCTACAGCCTTAAGGTCAGATGGACTCAGGGAACCCCAGCACCATATTCATCTACTCCCTGAATTTTCTCTCTTAGGCCAAATTAAAACCTCACTCACTAGAGCCCAGGAGTCAAGAGCAGCCTCTGCTTCAGCCCAAACAGGTATAGAGCTCTCAGCCCCCTTCCTCCCCTCTGCTGTGGACAGGGCTGGCCCAGAACCCCGGGAGGCTTCGGGAAGTGGGAGGCACCGCTTTCCCTGAAAGCTGAGGGCAGGATGAAAGTGGGGTCCCAGCCACAAATCCAGAGAGGGTAGCGGGTCAGGCCCCGGAGCCCCTCACCTCCTAGACTCAGTCGAGAAAGTGTTTCTGGAGCCTCTGCACAGTGCCAGGCCCTGTACTCGCTTCTCTCTTCCCTGCTACAGGACTGTAGGGGTGAGTGGGCCTGGCAACCTCTGCACCTCCGACTCCAGCCTCTCAACAAGGTGTCGGGTGGGCGGGGCCCATCTGGGCATGGGGGCACCCGGACTAGAGCTGGCATGGGCCATTTCCCTTGCCCCTAGCCCCTCTCCTGGCCTCCGTATGCAGGCATTCCATTGCCTCTCTTTTTCCCTCTCTCGTTGCAGGACATGCTGGGCATTCTCCCCGCAGGCAGCCCCCTGACCTCAAGCATCTCTTCTAGCATCACCTCCAGCCTGGCAGCTACCCCCCCTAGCCCAGTGGGCACCAGCAGCATCCCTGGCATGAATGCAAATGCTCTCCCCTTCTACCCCACCAGCGACACGGTAGAGTCCGTCATAGGTAACTAGGCCATTTCTGTTTGCAAGCCCAGGACTGGGTCTGGGGCGAGGGACACCCCCGTCTCTGAAGCAAGACTCAAATAGGCACACCAGTCCCCTTAGACATCTGTCTTGGGAAAATCAGGGTGGGCACTCCAGGTCCTTTGAGCTAAAGGGTGAATGACCCCAAGGTGTAGGGCCAAGACTGGCCCTTAGAACTCCTTTGCTCAAATTAGAAAGAGGCGCCTTTTCCCCTGGGTGAGGATAGTCTCACCCCAAGACATGTCATTCAGCCCCCATTCATCTCACTGGTATCCTTGTGCAGTGAACAGCCAGCACGACGTTCTCAGAATTTCTTGTGTTAGAAGTCAGTGCTCATTTCTTTCAGTACCCATTTCTAGGTGACCGCTTTGCGCCAGGTCCTGTGGTAGGCACTGGGGAGACAGATGACAACATGCTGTTCCTGCCCTCTAGAGGGAAATTTCCCATGCAGTGGACATTTGTCAAGCACCTGCTCTACGCCAGCCACTGAGTGCCCAGAGACCTGCCCACCCCCACTGAGCCCAGGGCTGAGACTTTCGAGCTGTAACATCAGGGGCAAAGCCCCTGTCCGAGGCAGGGACCCTGGAGGAGGACATGATTCCTCCTGGAAGTGTCAAAGAAGGATTCAGGAAGGAGAGACATTTGGGTTGGACATCACCGGCACGTGGCGTCAGGAGTCAGGGTTGCCACAGGAGGCAGCTGAAGGAAGGGTGCAGGGCTTCGGAGAGCATGGGCCCAGTGCGGCACGGGTGTGAAGATGCAGCGTGGGCAGGAGATGAGGTGGTCATGGTCAGACGGGCCCTTAGGAGGTCACATCCTCCTCTCTGTCCCTAGAGTCTGCTTTGGATGACCTGGACCTGAATGAGTTTGGTGTGGCTGCCCTGGAGAAGACTTTCGATAACAGCACGGTGCCCCACCCAGGAAGCATCACCATTGGTACGGGGCGGGGTGGGCAGGGCAGCCTGGAGGACTCCTCAGGTTCCCACCTGGCCCAGGCCCCCTGCTCCATGTGGCCCGCCTGGCTTGTGCTGGCCTCACCCGGCCCACCCTCCCCGGGCCTCTCTTGCAGGCGGCAGCTTGCTACAGAGCTCTGCGCCCGTGAACATCCCCGGCTCCCTGGGCAGCTCTGCCTCCTTCCACTCAGCGTCCCCATCCCCTCCCGTCAGCCTTTCCTCGCATTTCCTGCAGCAGCCCCAGGGCCACCTGAGCCAGTCGGAAAATACATTTTTGGGGACCTCAGCATCACATGGATCTTTGGGTAAGAGGGGGAGTAGCTCACTGATAAGCCCCGGGGCAGGAACCTGAGCCTTTAGAAGTGTCTCTGGCCACCCTGTCTGAGGCACATCAGCCAGGCTGGTGGTTAGGGCATAGGCCTTGGGCGAGGAGGCAGAGTCAGACCCTGGACAAGTGATTGAGCCTCTCTACCTGAGTTTCCTCTGCTGTGAAACGGCAGCCTCTGCCTCCTATGATTGTTGTGAGGGTTGAATGGAATAATGGGTCTGAAGTGCAGGGCACAAGGCCAGTGCGAGTGAGAACGGGGGCTCGGAGCTGCCAGGGCCAGGCCTGGTCTCTCACAGCATGTTCTCTTCTGCCCAGTCACCCCAGGCTCTGAGAGGCTGGCTCACACGAGCCAGGTTCATGGGCACCAAGGGAGAAGCTAGACAGGCTGACCCCTGCCTCCAGGTGCCCTTCCTGCCAGGGAGGCCCAGGGCTGGCCCAGAACGCTGTTTGCCCAACACAGAATTAGAATGGTGTGGACTGGGGGTTCCTGAGGGCACTTCAAGATTTAGTGGCTAGAAGAATGGTGCAGAGACCTGTGGGGCTGTGCCTCTGCGGGCCAGCTGTGCATCTCCTCTTGTGCGTGTGTATGTCAGGGGGTGCTCCTGAGAGTGGGATGGGAAGCACGTGGCACCCCTGCTCTCACTCCCCCCAGCAGCTGTTCAGAGACCGGGAGCTCCCTCCCTGAGAGTGCCGGCATTTTGCTCAGACCCAGGGACTGAGCCCTTCAGAGTTCTGCTTGGGTTTCGTGGCTTCCCTTATCTCATTCCTGATCCCAGAGCAGCACATGGCTCTCCTAGCACCTTGCAGTTTTGAAGAGGCTGTTCTCTGTTGTTGATTCTGTCAGCTTCAGGTACCTGGTATTGCATTTTCCAGACTTGCCCCATATTCTGGTGGCATCTTTTTTTTTTTTTTTTTTTTTTCCCCCAAGATAGGGACACACTGTGTCACCCAGGCTGGAGTGCAATGGTGTGATCATAGCTCACTGTAGCCTGGAACTCCTGAGCTCAGGTGATCCTCCCACCTCAGCCTCCTGAGTAGCTGGGACCACAGGCGTGCACCACCACACCCAGCTTCTGGTGGCATCTTGACTTAGCCCCACTTACTGGCCACGCATACCTTCCTGTACCATGTGACTGTTGAGCATAGCTGTGTTGATGCAGGTGTGAGTGCAACAGTCCCAGCAGTGGGATGTGCCCTGCAGCCATGCCAGTGTGGGAAGCAGAGGGGCATAGCCGTTGGGATCCTCCTGGGAATTGCAGAGGGACCTAGCTGGACAGCGGAGTCGGGAGAGCTTCTCTGAGGGAGGAGGAGAGATGGGCAGGACAGGAGAACGTGCTACAGGGTTGGTCTCGTGAGTGGGGTGACTCTGAGGTCTTTCTCAGGGACAGGGCAGATGGCTCAGACAGTGTCTGCTGCAGAGTCTCCACACACGACCATGCCCCTCCTCTGTGGGTGCGCTTGTGTGGCTCAGAGAGCAAAGCGTCTTAAACTTGGTTCTGGAACATCCTGACTGGACTAGTGGGAAAGGGAACAAGGAAGATGTCACCAGAAAGTGCATGTAGGCAGAGTGAGGCCAGAGGTGGATATATGGGTCCTTCTCAGGGAAGACAGGGGCTGCCCGGGGGGCCAGAGCAGGGGGACCTGATGTTAGTAAACATCTTTTGAGCGAGTGAGCAGAGGGTGGCTGGGTTGGTGGTGGGTGGGTGGCTGTGCATGCGGCATAGTTCACTGGAAAGCATGGACCTTTGGAACCAGATGGCCTCTCTGTGTCCTGACCCTGCCACTTACAATTTGTAGGGTTCTTGGTAACACATTTTATCCAGGGTCCTTGTCTGTAAAACAGGTGGGATGGCCCCAAGGCTACCTGAACTCTTCCTGCCCCGGCTGGCTCTGTCTTTTCGAAAACCCTTATCTCTTCCTGGGCCTCACATCAGGGTGCAAAAAGGCTACAATCATAAATTGCCACTGCCAGGCGCCTGGGACTGCTCTCACGTGCAGTACTTCCTGAGTCCCCTGAGTTACCCTGTGAGGCCAGCAATGGGAGCTCCATTTCCCACACGAGGATGCTGAGCCTCAGAAGGCAAGTGGCATCAAGTAGCAGGTGAAACTTAAGGTTAGGTCTCACTCCGCCCACATCACCTGCACCGTCACAGCCTTCCTGTCCCTGCAAAATTCTCTGGCCTGATACTAGCTGGAGCTTTGCATACCCATCCAGTGGACAGCCAGTTCCTGGAACCCCGAGGCAGGGCTGGCCAGGGCCTGGGCCCAAAGTCCTCCAGAGCTGATGTCTTTCTCCTCCTTGGGGCAGGTCTGAATGGGATGAACAGCAGCATCTGGGAACATTTTGCCTCTGGAAGCTTCTCCCCGGGCACTTCCCCCGCCTTCCTGTCAGGGCCAGGGGCTGCTGAGCTGGCCCGGCTTCGGCAAGAGCTGGATGAAGCTAACAGCACCATCAAGCAGTGGGAGGAGTCCTGGAAGCAGGCCAAACAGGTACCAGTCCCCGGGCCTGTGGCCTTCCCCAATGCCTGGGGGCATCCAGCCCAAGACCTTCCTTCACAGAGCGGGCCTGGGGTGGGGGAGAGCAGGACTTGAACAGAGCAGAAACTCAGTTTTTTTGGCTCGCTTTCTCTGCTGGGAGGACTTGCCTTGCCTGTCAGGACCCTGGGTGGTTACTCTTACTGCAGGCTTCGAATTCCCTCTGTGAGCTGCTTGTAGTCTGGTCCCAGGACCACTTGCCTCTTCCCAGTAGCCTTGCCTCTCCAGGGTTCCAAGTCCAAGGTTCTGGGTTCTGAAATGGGCCCCCTGTCCCCCTGCAGCCGGCTCCCCTATGGGTGCTTGCCAGGATCCCAGCTCTGGCCTGTTCCCCTTGCTGTGCTAGGCCCAGCCCTCTGGGGACACAGGGGTTAGGCAGGGCCATTGTGATGAGACTGTATGCTGGGCCCACAGGCTTGTGACGCCTGGAAGAAGGAGGCAGAGGAGGCTGGTGAGCGGGCCAGCGCGGCGGGTGCTGAGTGTGAGCTCGCCCGGGAACAGAGGGACGCCCTGGAGGTGCAGGTGAAGAAGCTCCAGGAGGAGCTGGAGCGGCTACACACAGGGCCTGAGCCCCAGGCCCTGCCCGCCTTCTCCGACCTGGAGGCACTGTCTCTCTCCACCCTCTACTCCCTCCAGAAGCAGCTGCGGGCCCACCTGGAGCAAGTGGACAAGGTCAGCCAGGTTGGGGAACCCTGGGTGGGGTGTACAGTGGCCTCAGCCAGCCCTTGGACTCTGACCTGGTCCAGGCTGCTCCAGGATTGGCCACCCTCCTGAGGGTCTCTGTCCAGCACTGGGCCAGCACTCAAAAGGGCGGCCTGCTGGGAGTGGGTAAGGAGAGTGCAGCGGGGAAGGTGAGAAGGCTAGGGGTGAGGGGCACCAGTGCCAGCACCCCTGAGGGCGGCCCTGACCAAGCTGCGCTCAAATGCCTGGGCCCTAAGTAAGTCATCCTGTATACCCTCCATGGAGCGGCGGACCTTCCAGAGAGGCCCAGGACCCCAGGGCTGCCCTGCCTCCCAGGTCTCCTGCTGGGTCCCAGGGGCCAGCATGGCATGGTGGGAAGAGCTGTCTTTCCTTTGTTCTCTGGCAGCCAGTCCCCCAGGTGTGGCCCTGGGCATGTCCCAGCCCTTTCTGAGCCTCATTTTCCCCATTTGGGGATTACAAGGTCAAATGAGACTGGGCAAAGCCTCTGTGAGGGATGGGTGTTGTCAGAGGCTGGCCGTGCCCCATGCAGAGGTGGACTCAGCCTGCTCTCTCACCTGCCAGTAGGGTTCTGGGAGCACACTGTTGAGCTTGGTGCCTCAGTTTCCCCATCCCAAGAGGGCTGAAGTGAGGATCAAGGGAACTCCTTGCTCAACTTGGGGCTAGACCCATGGCTGGTAACTACAATGCCCCTTTTCCCACAGGCCGTATTCCATATGCAGTCAGTGAAATGCCTTAAGTGTCAGGAACAGAAGCGGGCGGTGCTGCCATGCCAACATGCTGCGCTATGTGAGCTCTGCGCCGAGGGCAGCGAGTGCCCCATCTGCCAGCCCGGCCGGGCCCACGCCCTCCAGTCGTGACCCTGCAGGCCTGGCCCAGCCTGGCTCAGATCTTCTCATCTAGGACTTTTTAAAGTATATATATATACGAGTATATATATCTATATATAGATATGTATATATATATATATATATATATATATAATGTGTGTGTGTATGTATGTATATGTATATGATTATGTATATGTATACATTTCCGTATGTGTGCAGGTATGCGTGGTGGCGTGGACAGTGTCTGTGTGTATATCTGTACATAGATATAGACACACACTTTAAAAGACTTACCAAGCACTTTTTAAAAGAAGAAACTATTTTGCAGTCCTCCCCTACCCACTCCCTGCCCTTCCCACCGCACAGACAACATCCCTTCTCCCACTGGCCTTTTGGCAGAGAATCTGTCTCTTTTTTAATGTAGGAACTAACCATTTTTAACTTCTTCCTGAGGCCTGAGCAGGCAAGGGTGGGACTGGAAGGCACTCAGGGGAGGGAGAAGCCCTCAGGGCAGACCCTGCTCCCCCTCCCTCCTTGCCAGGGCAAGGGTGGAGTGTGGAAGATGTGGGTCCCCCAGGGCGGGCCTAGTCCCCAGCTGTGAGGGCCTCAGGGAGGCCCGAGGGGGTATGCTGGGGGGGGGGCCTCAGCTGGTGTAGCTCCTAGGTTTACCAAATGTTTGTTGAGTCCTAGGGAGAACAAGAAGGGCTGGAGGCCAGTGCTTCGGGGCCAGCCCCACTCCTGACACCTGGGCCCTTGAAGCCCCTCGAGGGGCAAGGCCCAGGAGTTCTAGCCCTCAGGTTCCTGAGGCCTGGGGTCTACCCTCAGTCCTCTCCCCCTGGACTCCCCACAAGAGCCTCCCTGGCCCCAGGGTCACCTACCAGGCTGGCACTCATTCTATGACCCCCCCCCCAGCAGCCCCCAGCTATCCCTGTCCCCTCCCCCCTCTGGCAGCTAGCAGGGCAATTGGCCGGGAGGAGTGTGGACTGAGGACCAAGGGGGCTTAGGCCCTGCCCTCCTCCCCGGAGGAGCTCCGTATGCATTCCTTGGTGCTCTCTGAGTGCAGCTGGTGTCCTGCCCTGTTCTGGGCGGACGCCTGTGTGCGTGCGTGTGTGTGTGTGCGCCTGTCCAGTGTATATTGTGTCTTAGCTTCCATTTTAAAAATTGTTCTGTACAGAAAGAGATGCAGCAGGGGCGGGAGGGCAGAGCGGGCGGAGGGTAGCAGCCACGCCCCCAGCACCGGGTGTCTGGGATAGGAGCAAGAGGGCTGAGAGGATCTGGTCCTGGCCCAGGCTCCCCCTTGGGCTCAGCACGAAAGGGCTTTCAATGAATTAAGTGAAAACTTTTTCCTTTTTTACAAAAATGCAAAAATCAACAAAGCTCCAAACCTATTGGAAATAAAATATGAACTTACAGTGGTAGCTTGTTTACATGGGGTGAGGGGGAGTGGGCCCCAAAAGAGGGCCTCTGAACTATGAGGTGGTCCAGGAGCCCTGCCTCAGTCATGGAAATAGCTGGTGCCCAAATCGCTGAGGTATGGTAAGGCAGCTGGAGAGGCCTGGAGGCTCCCTGGACCCATCAGGCCTCGAGACAGCTCAAGTGCTCTCCAACCTAGGCCTGCTGGGGTTGATGACACAGGAACCCTTAGCCTTGGACACCGAGGCCTCCCAGGCCCTAGGACTCTTTAGGGTTGTGTGGTTAGTGGTGACTGGCTTCCCTGTTGATGTTTTCCAAAAAGCAATAGGGCCCCTAATAGTGTCTCAGAGGAACAGTGTCTTCCCAACTGGGCACAGTGGTGCACGCCTGTGGTCCCAGCTACTAAGGAAGCTGAGGTGGGAGGATCACTTGAGCCCAGGAGGTCGAGGTTGCAGTGAGCCATAACTGCATAACTGCACAACTACCTCCAGCTTGAGTGACAGTGAGGCCCCATCTCAAAAACAAAAACAGAGGCTGAGGTGGGTAGATCACTTGAGGTCAGCTATTAGTGAGACCAGCCTGGCCAACATGGCGAAACCCCGTCTCTACTAAAAAAAAAAAGAAATACAAAAATTAGCCAGGTGCGGTGGCACATACCTGTAGTCCCAGCTACTCAGGAGACTGAGGCAGGAGGATCCTTTGAACCTGGGAGGCAGAGGTTACAGTAAGCTGAGATTATGTCATTGCACTCCAGCCTGGGCAACAGAGTGAGACTCCCATCACAAAAACAAGAAACCCAGTGCCTTCCCATTGGGAGAATTTGCTGGTAGAGCCTGGAAGCCATCTTGCCTCCTGCCTCCTTTGCCCCACCCTGCTCCCAGTTGGGGTGAGAAAACACCTTGGTGGGATCTTCTGCATGGCCTCAGGTTTACAGCTACAAGGGGCCTTGGAGGTCATCTCGGCTAATCTCACCTCCCAGCATCTTGTGCAGACTCAGAGGTTCAGGCGTGGAACCAGGGTCACACAGCTAGGATGATGTGATGACCAGGCCTCAGGCTCTGACACGCCTCAGGCTCCGACACCCCCCAGGCAGGGTAGAGACCCCAGCTCCTTTATGCCCCACTATCTCAAGAGCAGCCCCTCAGCCTCTACCTGCACCCCTGGGAGGACCCTGCTGACTGTGCTCCCCTGAGGAACAGGTCCCTGTCCTGGGTGTGGCCGCAGGACCTGGTATTACTGGTGAAGCCCTTTGTTCAAAGCCCACAGCCAAAAATCACCCCAACCCTGCCTCTGCCTCAGTTACACCTACACCCACCTCCCTGCTTTATAGCTGCCCTAGGGTGGTGGTAGGTCAAGGTCCCCTGAGGGCCAGGGAGGAAACCAACTGGCCGGGCTCGTCGCATTCTTGGTCCCACTGTAGGCTGAAGGTACGTTTTCTAAGAGGACAATGAATTGGTTTTTATTATTTTTACTAAGAAAGTTTCTAGGTGGCAGGTGCTATCTGGGGTGGCAGGTGCTGTCTGGGGAGGAGTGGAGTGCAGCAGACAGTGGCCAAACTGTCCTTTCTGCTTCCGTCTGTCGGTGCCACCCCCTGCCACCTGCCAGCTCTCGCTCCCTCAGAGCCAGAAGGTTCTTCCCTCCAGGCTTCCTGGCCTGGGTGCTGGCAGCCCCTGGGGAGAAGACCCAGGCTCCCTATAGTAATGGTCACCACCTTCCCCTCAGGGCAGCTGGAGCCTCATCTTTGGCAGGGTCCCCTGTCCCTTCCCCAGGAGCCTCTGTGCCTGCAGCCCTGCTCCCAGTGAACCTGGCCCCCACCCCAATGGCTGGAACAGAAAGGCCAGGAGACGAATGGCCCGATCCCCTGCCCACCAGAGCAGCTTTTCCGAGAGGTGGGCAGGGGCAGGGTTTGCTTCCCCTGGTGCTGGGAGGCGGCAGAGAAGTTGTAGCCAGGGCTGGAGACAGTGAGGCGGGATAGAGATATCTCTGCTGAGCCCCCATCACTGTGGGAGGCAGGGAGGAGGTCTGCATACTGGGCTCCTTAAAAGTTAGGCCAGGCTGGAGGGCTGTGCTGTGGCAGGGAAGCCTCAGACCTTTCAGGAAAGCCCTTGCAGGTCCCCACCAGGTACCTGGCCCTACTGCAAACCTCTATAGCTACGGTGCAGGCCGCAGGGCATGCTGGGAGGCCTGCTTGGCCCTCTGCCGCCGCAGCCTTACAAAGACCTGGGCCTCTCGATCACCCTTCCGGACCTCCAGCAGCTGCAGGATTGGGTCCCCTGTGGAGAAAGGGGTTTGGTGGTCAGATGCCAGGGGAGAGGCAATGCCCGGTGGTGGCAGGGAAGGGTGGGGGGGGCATACAACACTGCCCCATCCCCCGCCCCAACAACCTGGAAGGAAACCAGTGACAAACCCGCACCAGCCCAGCTCAGGAAGTGGCCCGACAGCCACGGCTGAGACTTGCTAAGGTTTGGCTATTTTTTTTTTTTTTTTTTTTTTTGAGACAGAGTCTCACTCTGTCACCAGGCTGGAGTGCAGTGGCACAATCTCGGCTCACTGGAACCTCTGCCTCCTGGGTTCAAGCAATTCCCCTGCCTCAGCCTCCCGAGTAGCTCGGACTGCCTGGCTAATTTTTTTTGTATTTTTAGTAGAGACAGGGTTTCAGTATGTTGGCTGGTCTGGTCTTGAACTCCTAACCTCTGCCTCCAAAGTGCTGGGATTATGCCTGGTCTGGCTATATTACCTTTTTATTTTTTGGGGGGGACGGAGTTTTCGCTCTTGTTACCCAGGCTGGAGTGCAATGGCGCGATCTCGGCTCACCGCAACCTCCGCCTCCTGGGTTCAGGCAATTCTCCTGCCTCAGCCTCCTGAGTAGCTGGGATCACAGGCACGCGCCACCATGCCCAGCTATTTTTTTGTATTTTTAGTAGAGACGGGGTTTCACCGTGTTGACCAGGATGGTCTCGATCTCTTGACCTCGTGATCCACCCGCCTCGGCCTCCCAAAGTGCTGGGATTACAGGCTTGAGCCACCGCGCCCGGCCTATATTACCTTTTTATATGAGAACCTAAAGCTAGCAAGTTAACCTCTTCATGCCTCAGTTTACTCATCTATAAAAGAGTGCCAATAATATCTGCTTCATTGGTTGGCATGTGTAAAGTGCTTAGCACTTGCTTATAATACGTGCACAAGCACCAGACCGTTTCTGGTATCAGAAATGCTCTGCAGGGCTATGACCCCACTGAGTGAGATCCAGGCCCTTCCCAGGTAAACATCTTGGTGACTTTCCCCACTAGGGAGTCACATTTCACTTAAAAGTTCACTGGGCTCTTGATTAGACCAAGAGATGGGCCATGGCTGTCCCACTAGCTCCCATCTCCAGAAAGGCTGTTCTCCAACCCTGGCGTCACCTCTCTGGGGACCCTGCCTGAGCTTTACAGGCTCCCTGTCCCTGTACCACCCTTCCCTGGGCTCAGGCCTACCGTTGGGTGCGGGGTACGTGAGGGGCAGGCGGGTCTGAGGCACTTCACCAGGCTCCTCGGAGCCACACAGCCCGTGCACCTCACACAGCGGCAGGAAGGCCTCCCCTTCCAGGTCGTCGGCCCCTAGCGTATCGTAGTCCAGCACGGTGAGCAGGAGGCATGCCCCAGGCTTGCGACACGGCTCAGCAGGCACCAGGCTGCGAGGAGAGTCAGGGCTCTGCTGCCAGCCCCAGCATGGCCACCCCCAGCTCCAACACATGGGATCACCCGCTTGGTGTTGGGAACCAGCCAGGGTTAGGGCTGCAAAGCCAGCTCTCAGCCTGGCGCCTCTTGGCCATATGGTGCAATGTCTGCTCTGACTGTGGGTGATGCTTTAAACCCGGGGTCCTGTGCCCCCTGCCCACCTGTCTTAAGGAACTGGGAGCAGATTACTGAGAACCTCAGGGACAGGACCCTTCCCTAGAAGTCCCTAAGTTCAACATGTGGGAGTCCACCCCTGCGCCCAGGGGAAGCAAACTCTTTTTTTGAGATGGGTTCTTGCTCTGTGTCCCAGGCTGGAGTTTAGTGGCACGATCTCAGCTCACTGGAGCTTCCGCCTCCCGGGTTCAAGTGATTCTCCTGCCTCAGTCTCAGAGTAGCTGAGACTACAGGGGTGTGCCACCATGCCTGGCTAAGTTTTTGTATTTTTAGTAGAGACAGGGTTTCACCATGTTAGCCAGGGTGTCTCGAACTCGACCTCATGATCCACCTGCCTTGGCCTCCAAAAGTGCTGGGATTACAGGCGTGAGCTACTGTGTCCAGCCCTTTTTCTTTTTTTTGGAGATGGAGTCTTACTCTGTTGCCCAGGCTGGAGTACAGTGGCACCATCCCGGCTCACTGCAGCCTTTACCTTCTGGGTTGAATGATTCTCCTGCCTCAGGACCCCAAGTAGCTGGGATTACAGGCATGCGCCACCATCACACTGGGCTAATTTTGCATTTTTAGTAGAGGTGGCGTTTCACCATGTTGGCCAGGTTGGTGGGATGACAAAGCGCTGGGATGACAGGCGTGAGCCACCGTGTCTGGCTGCAAACTTTGGTCCAGGTGCCCCGTCCCTGGGGCCCAGATTAGGCCATCTAAGGGGAGCCCCTTGACCCCAGCCAGGAGGAGCAGGCCTGAGGGAGCCCAGCAGGGGGAGGCACTGGGAGAAGAAGGGGGTCCCACTCACAATTCAAAGGTCTCATCAAACAATGGGTGAAGGTCCTTCTTGTGCTTCTGGGTCTCCCGGGAGGCCAGCTCAGGGAACTCATGCCTGGGCTCCAAGGTCAGCTGGACAAAGGGGTCACTGGAGCCTGGCAAGTGGCCGGGGAGAGTGCATCAGCTGAGGGTTTTCCAGCTACCCCACCCCCACAGCTATACCCCACTCAGCAGCACTGACCCCTCCTGGTAACTGGAGGAAATGCACCTAGAGCTCTTGCAGGGTGAGCAGAGCCCCCAGGGATGCAGAGACAGGAGGGCGGGGGGGAACCACTCCTCTTTGGGGA